CAAAAGTTCAAAAAGGTATTTTGCAAGAATTGTAGACCTTGGCATTCATCCGAATATCCCAGTTGTGTAGTGCCTGTAAGAGGTACCTAACTTTTATTGATATACTTGAGAGATTTTGCACCAACTAAGAAAATTAAAGATTTTAATTGTGACCATTTTTTCAAATTTTTAATGGCACACTGTTAGAATTTTGATTCTAAAATTACGGTAAAAGAACCGGCAGCAGTATGTGCATCCAATTAACCATAAAGTTTACGCTTTGGAGCATTTCTTTGGAACATTTCTTTAGCTTTACGTGTTTGAAACAGTTTTCAATTGGTATGGTTAAAAAATCTAGAATTAAGACTAAACTGTTTTGAAAACTATACTGTATTGTTTTCTTTTGAAACCATTTACAACTAGCATGATTTTAAAATCGCAAAAATTAAATTAAACTGGACATTGGAGTTAGGTTATGTTAAGCTTTTCACTAAGTATTGGACATAAGAATTGGGTTGTGGGTGAATTGTATTTCGTCAGGTTAACCATGAAGTGTGACTTAGTTAGTTATAGGTAATTAAAAAAATTTTTTGCATTTTTAATACATATTTTAAATACATTTAAATACATTTTTTTACAATTCAATTTCTCAGAAACTATGCGACCGATTTCGCCTAAATTTTGTACTTTACCACGTAAAATTATGTAAAAAAAACTGTATATCTTACAATTCAAAATTTTTTTCGCTATTATTAAATAAAATAATGAAACATAATAAATATTTAATATAAGTTATTTTTTACATGGAATTATCTTTGGATAAACAAATTTTATAATTATGTGCACAAAAATTTTTCAATTCGTTAAAAAATGTTCTCAAGATGTGGCAAAATACGTAAAAATTAATATTAACAAACATTAATCCAAACTTTGGACCTCTCTCTCGACAAAGCCATTGAAAGTCTGTTTATTTATTTATTTATTTTTTTAATTTTATTTATTTATTATTTTTTGCGCACTGTAAACAGCTGCATGAACAAAGTGGCTTCATCTATAAGATGTTCACCTCATGCTTATTACTATAAGATTATTAGTCATCCGCTGTTGTATTAGATTTCCGATGATGGAAAATAAATTTATGAATTCGTAGTCCTTTTTATTTGGTTTAGCTTCTTTTTTTTCGAAGAACGTGCGCACGATTCTTATTGGCTGTGAGCCTAGTTAGCGCGAAAAAAATTCTGGTTGCTTAACCATATTAGGGGAAAACTGACAAAAACGATTTTTCTCACAGCTGACAGTTTAAATATCATTTTTTTAAAGGTTGTTTGATTGCTTTAGCGGAATATGGTAAAATAACAATTAAATTGTTATTTAACCACTTTTTTCGAGAATTTTCTAACATGTGCTGCTCCACGAAACGTCTTGTTTTTGCTGCTAAATTGCTGAAAACAGATTTAAAACATTTCCAACAAAACTTACGTTGCCTCAAACTATTATTCAAGAGCTTTTCACAGGAAAATAATAAAAAAATTTCATCACAGAATGATTGGAATTCTCCCCATACATGTGCTATAAAATGCGCAAAAATGAAAAAACACGAGCATTACTAGATAAGTTATAGTGTTTTCTGTGCATCTAAAGTGCGTATTCTTCTTCAAATTTGTTTGCAATTAAATATTTCCTTTTTATTATTATTTATTATTTTCAGGTGATGTCATCATTAATCTAGACAGTAACCAGAAAATCCTTCCTGGTGGTATTTTGACTATAGACCAAGGAGCAGATGTTAAATTTTATTGCATCAGCAATGGCATTGCAGATTATCCGTCTTGGACTACAACTGTTCCCGACCAATTACTTTCATTTAGTAAGAAATAACCTTCAAATCTAAACTTTTAAGCTAAAATTTAGGAGAAAAAAAATTAGCAGAATTTCAAAAGTTCAAAAAGGTATTTAATAATAAATGGTAGGTACTTGATTTACCTCGCACTAGACCTGCACGATGGGCTATTGGCAACGGTCTGGGAAACATCCCTGAGGATGATCCGAAGACATGCCATCGCAGTTTTGATTCTCTGCGGAGGGGATGCCTCCCCTGCTTTGGTATCCCGATGACCTGCACGCGAAGTCGAGCACTTCACGGTAGAACAGTTTAACGAGGGCCCATACCGCACACCCTCGGTCCCTACGCATGCTGATCAAAGTGGTCACCCTTACTGACCGTGTCTTTACGATCAGTCAACTGCGGGACTTTAATAATAAATAAAAGAGATAGTAGAAATTCGCATGTAACACTTTATATTGATCACCAATTGAAAGAATACTTCAATTTTTTTTTATCCCCTGTTTAGTCCTTCAAAATCATAATTTTGCTTTTCGTTAGAATGCTACTTTTGAAGGTTGGCATTCTCGGTACCTGCATCCACTAATCTACGAAATTTGGCAAAAAAAATTAATGCTGTAGAATTAAATCGAACCTCGTCATCTTTACCTTAAGTGTCTTAATTTTTTTAAATTTATAATTTAACGCTTAGCTCTCCAATTACAAATAGAAGAAGAGAAAATTGCACAGAAGTAAAGTCTGTGACAATTTCATTTTTACATCTAACATTTTATATAATCTTGACGTTTTTGTTACATATATGTAGTGCAAAATGAGCTTAGATTATTAATAAACTATTTTTCAATATGTTTTTAAAGCGTATGAACTTTTTAATTAATTACAATTAATTTAATTAATTATTTTTTTGATTAATTTATTCATTAAATTAATTAATTTTTAATAAATTAAAAAATTCTTTTAGGATGGTCTAGATTTTTTCAACAGTTAATGAGTTATTATCAATTTTATATACTTTTTTCCTACAACTATGAAAAAGCGAACAAAGATTTGTATAATATGCTCGCAAGCTGTCACATTAAAATAAATCCCTTTTTGGCAATTTAAAAAGCAGAAAGTAATATTACAAATTAATTTCTTTTTCAGATTATGAATAACGTCATACTTGATAAATACAGAACTTTATTTTTGGAACTAAAATCACATTCCATAAAGAATAAAAATTTTCAATTTTTTTTTATTAAATTAATATCAGTTACAAAAGTCGTAAATGTTTTGTTTTTTTTCTAGCGAATACTAAATCGGAATTGTAATATTTGAGTCAAATATATTTCGATCAAGCATTTTACGACTGAAAAATTAATATGCATACAATGGTGGTTAAAGTTCGTGATCTTGAATAAGAGCTTGATAAAAATCTTAAATTATTGATTCATTCAATCACTGGTTTAAGAGCTGCGATGGCTCAAAGGATAGAGCGTTCGCCTTCCAATGAGGTGAACCGGGGTTCGATCCCGGCGATGGCTGGTCGATACGAATTCGGTATCCGGCTTGCACAGACCACAGTGCTGACGTGAAATATCCTCAGTGGTAGACGGATCATTGGTTAGAGTCCCCTTGCCATTAGGCTAACCGTGGGAGGTTCTCGTGGTCTTCCTCAAAATGTAACGCAAGTGCGGGTTAGCTCCATCAAAAAGTACTCCACGAAGGGAAATTGCTCCCAATACTTGGTCCAAAAGTTTCCTTGTCTTCTGGATTGGGTTCAAAATTACAAGGCTACGGAGTTGAACATTAGTAGTCGTGAACCCAAAAAATTGGGTCTCCTGTTCAACGACGGTTATAAAAATAAAACAAATAACTGGTTTAAGAAGCCGCGATGGCTCAGGGGATAGAGCGTTCGCCTTCCAGTGAGGCGAACCGGGTTCAAATCACAGTCGATACGAATTCCGAATCCGGCTTGTACCGACCACAGTGATGACGTGAAATATCCTCAGTGGTAGACGGATCATGGGTTAGAGTCTCCTTGCCGTCAGGCTAACCGTGGGAGGTTCTCGTGGTCTCCCACTCCATGTAACGCAAATGCGGGTTAGTTCCATCAAGAAGTCCTCCACGAATGCAAATTTCTCCCAATACTTGATCCAGTAGTTCCCTTGTCTTCCGTATTGGGTTCAAAATTACTAGGCTACGGGGTTGAACATTAGTAGTCGTAAACCCATAAAATTGGGTCGGCTTTTCAATGACGGTTATAAAAATTATAAAATAGAACCACTGGTTTAAAATCTAGACTGATTAATTTAATTACCTTTGCAGAATCACTTGATCAATCGGATGGATATGATACATATTTAAATACTCTGTCAATTCACAATGCAAGTCCACGGCATAACGGATTTTATAGATGCTCCGTTTCAGGGAATAGAGCACGTGAGATTCAGATATGTATTCATGGTGAGTATAGCTCTCTTGTTTCATCAAAATGCACTAATTAACTTATTGTAAGGATGTATAGTGTTAATTTCTAAAGAAAAAACTGTAAATTGATAGAAAAACAATAATCTTTTTTAAAAAAAAAAATAATAATGAATGCAACAAAGCATTGTAACCTAAGGGTTGCCGAAATTTTTAGAAACCTTTTTCATGATAAAGCAAAGCAGTGAAAATATTTTTAGAACAACTGGGATTCAATTATTAAATTGTTTTAAATTATCGAATGTCAATTGAATGTTATCAAATGTTGTCCGAAGCAAAAAAAAATATATATATAGTCAATGAGTTTCATCTATTTCATATTCTCTATTTAGAGCCTATCATATCATCTATCAGAGCTTATCATATCATCTATTTAGAGTCTCATATCATCTATCAGAACTTATCATCTATTTAGAGCCTACCAATCGCTATAATTTTTGCTACCCTTGAGAAAACATTTTGCATTTTGCGGGCCCAAATTAACATTTTCATTCTGTAGTTAGCCTAGGTAAAAGAATCGTTAGAATCCCAAATATCTAGCTGTATTATGGAAATAAGTATAATTTGGTTTTTAAATTTTGAATCTCATTAGAAAAAAATGAACAATTCAATATTTTTTCACTTTTTTTGAAATTTAATAATATTTTTTCATATTGCATTAAGCTAGAAATTATACATTTAAATGCTCCTCTAAACATATCATCTAAAGATGTTTAAATGAATCTTATTTTCTACTTCCATATTTTTATTCATCTAACATTTTTTTTCTTCTCTTTTGACTAGCTACTGATTTTTTTAATATTTCATTTATATTTCGGAATAGAAAACAAGATTTGCAAATTTCAATTCTAAAAACAAACTTTTAAAAAAAAATGAAACTTTATAACTTTTAAAATAAATTTCTAACCAACCGCGAGGGGCTTAGGCCATTCGTCCCAGCTTTATGACGACTCTGTTCAATGGTACAAGAGTAGACATCGTCGGCACGGCACCAAACAACATTACGGGTTCTAGTTAAACTGATGAAATGATGCAAACTAAGTCAAAAATGGAATAAAATAAAATTTAGATAACTGTGTTTAAATCAGGACAACAAGATTAAATTTAGTACTAAACCAAATTATTACATCCAGTGTCTTTAAGATAGTGCATGTCTCCAAGTCACTTTAACCCCTTCCTTCTCGCTCCCGTGAAAATGAGGGAGTGAGGTTTCGCCCTCCATTTCTCGTTCCCGTGATATTGACGGGTTGGAGTGTTCAGTAGTAACTCGCCAATAAGAATAAAACTAATTCATTTCTTTTGCCCAGAAAACATTTAATTATTCATTTTACACACCAGATGGCAGTACCAGGATATTTTTAAGGTAATTGTAGATAGTTAGTTTATTTTAAACTAGATGTCAGCACTAATCAAGTGCGTAATACAAATACAAAAGCCAAAAAAATAGGCACTTTTATGACCGTTTTCTTGAAAATTAACCGATCGTTAAGGGGTTAAAAGTATTTTCAAATACTTGTGTACAATACAAATGTTTTTATAAATAATATTTTTTAGTTAGAAATTTAATTTTTTACCTATTATTTTTATAAATTAACGCTTTCTTCTTTGGTTAATCTTTTAGCCAAGTGCAAAATGTTTGATGAGAGCGAAGAGTTCAATATTCATTATGACAATAAGCAAGAGATCAATAGCAGTGTACTGTTCACTTGCAAAAACTCTAATACGAAATTAGAAGGTCCGAATCTGCTAACTTGTTTGTCAAATGGGGAATGGTCTGGACATCCTCCCAGATGTGTTTGTAAGTCGCCAAATACATGCAAATTTACTAGTTTATACTTGTATTTACCTTGAATCTACCGTCAAATGAGGATACTTTAGCCAGTTTTAAATTCGTAGTAAGAATTTCACTTACTTCTGAAACAGTTAGTGAGAAAATATAAATTCTAAACTTGATTTTGCGTTTGACGAATTTATAAATAATGTTTAAATATATTTTTATGCTTTCCTCTTTCAATAAAAACTCAAAAACATTGTGGGTCAACCCAGGTAAAATTTTCCAACAGATGTTTTTTATTGAAAACTGTCTCTAAAGTCGTATTCTTAAAAACTTCTTGGATGTTTCCTTAGAGGGTGTGAATTGAGCAAATATGCTCCTTAGAACAGCTGTAAAAAAATTATTATATTTGTTACTTTTACAAATTATATGTATACTGGACATTTGTTAAATTGTTAGATTCTCGTAATAAAAGTTTAGTAGATAACAATAATAAAGGAGAACGCATATGTTATTTTAAACTATTGAATTTACTTAAATGACGATTGATAAACATTAATATTTTTTTACTTCAAACAATAAAAGTGGATTGAAGGGAATTTATTTACACTGCTTTACAATTACTAAGGAGCAATTACCTTTTCAAAAAAATTTATTATAGACATTGATTGAAGAAATAAAACTAAGTACATTAGACAATGTGCATTTATTATAATGCAAAAAGGTACAAATATTATCACATCGAAAAATAATAAAATTAAATATAAAATATATGCTTAGACGATTTCCAAACAATCACGAAAAATCAGTCTTCTTGCCAGAATCAAACATGTATGATTATCTCAGTAAGATGTATGATTACCTCTGCCACTAATGCATGTTTTGATATCTATCTGTAGTTTATAAACTGTCCACTAAAGGATCAAGGTGCTCTTGGGGGATATTGTCCGATACCTCTTTCAAGGCGGTTGTCAACTCTTTCACTGTTGGGGAAGGAGCGTTCTTTGCGAAACACGCCTGCCAAGGGCATTCCAGACAGGCTCTATAGGATTCAGGCCTTGGGAGTAGGCACGCCATTGCATACGGACAATATCTTCACTTTCTAGTGAGACCGATACCTCAGCGTTCTTGTGTGGCTGTGCATTTTTGTTTCTAAACAGAAATTCTGGACCTTTCACACCCCTATAAAGACGAACATGATCCTGAATATAATCTCTCTGTAATACCGCTGGGATGTAGCGCTATCTCGCTCAAAATGTGAAGCGATGTTCCGCCATTGTGCAATGCCTGGCCACACAGGCACGCCTGGGCCATACCGATACCGTGCATAAGCCTATTGCTGTGCACAGCGTGTTCCCCTTTTTCTCCACGCTAAGGGATAGCCAGAATCACTTGCCATAGTGAATTTGGATTTGTCGGACGACATTACTCTGGACCACTGCTAGTTACCCCAACCAATACGTTCCTTACACCAACGCAGTCTTTCTCGACGAGGGCATAGTTAAAGCAGGATGCATCAAATAGGTTTCTTTGCCTACGAACTAACTTGATTTAATCACCATGAGTTTGTTCTGGCAGAAACTTGTGGTTGCAATGTCTGCAGCTATCTTACTAGGTGTGACATTTCTGTTTCTTTTTGACACTAGGAATACATATCGATCCTGTTGAGGTGTTGTGTTCCTACCACGACCACTGGCATGCTTTCCCATAGCATCTCCAGCTTCAGCGCCTTTTTTTAATCGGGAGATGAAACTTTTTGACAAAAGCATTACTGTGGCCCTAGTGGTGACATTTTATCCTGCTTCCAGTTGTCCAACTACTAGCCCACGATCGTAAGAATTTAGGTGATGTCTTGCTGATATTTGCACTTTGTTGCAATACCACCTTGAATTTCACAGGAATAAGCTCAACAACCTGCTACGCCATATTGTTTAAACACCTAACAGCATGAGTTTTCGAATGAATGAAGAGATTGTGGGGTATACAGATTAGCCCTTTATACAGATAACGAGACCAGCTCTACCACGTCTTCTGAGCTTGATTTTACGGTTATTGGTGGTTGAACGTTACTTAACATAAATGAGTTGTTCCTTAACAATTATCTAGCAGTGTAATTAAAAACTGATTCAAAGAAGTATAAAAATATTAAAAGACCCATACACAGTGAATTCTCTCTATTACGAAATCGACTGAGAGAAAATTTCACCATCAAGAAAAATTGCATTTACACATATTTTTTAGTTTTTTCCCAGTTATTCATGTAAATTCTACTAAATTTTTAGTCGGTGTGATAATTTCAAAAGTATATAATCATTGCTCTTAATAAAAATTATTAAAATCATTTATCATTTTGGTATAGAAAAATTTATAGAGAATAAATTGACGCATTAACGTTTATTCATTGCTTGAAAATTTCCTTGATTTTACAATTGCTTTGCATTTCATGATGTCAAATCACATTTTAAGATTAAGTACAAATTAAATCTTATAAATTGGCTTAAACCTTAGTTGGTTTAAATATTGAGATGTGTGAAATTCTAAAATTTCAAGACGGCCATCACCAGCTGGTCACCAGTTGTGTAAAGTATTTAATAAAAAATAATTTTAATTTTAAAATAGGTCCCTCCCGTTTATTTTGTGTCGTGGCATTATGCATTAAAAATGATACATTAAATGATTTTCAGCTAAAGGATGTCCACAATTGCCAGAAACTGGCACCATGCTGATCACATATAGTCCGGAGGATCGAGCGAGAGGCAGCACAGCAACTTTTCATTGCTTCCAGCCCAGTGTGCGAAAGGGAAACTCTTTCATTAAGTGTCTACCGAACGGTGAATGGTCAGGCGTGGTACCAACCTGCACGTGTAAGTTTTCTTCTTACTAATAATTAAAATCTTATTGCATTTCACACTCCTGACATGCAAATACACAGAGATATTTATTTAAATTAGATTTCAGAGCATTTTATGAAAGTGAAATATTTGTTCTAGTTTAAAGTTTTGCTGCACAGTTTAGCATTAATGAAATTTTTCTACTCAAATTTAATTTATTTATTTAGTTCTTTTTTTTTTCAAAGTTGTTTATTTAGTGCTTTTACTTAAAGGCGGTTATTTAATTGTCAGTAGTTATAATGATGCAATTCAACCTATTTATCTTCTAACCCAACCGAAATCACTCTAAACATATTGCAGTCACGTTCCAAAAAATATGCCAGCGTTTTAAAACACCCATGTATTTTAAATTGCTCTAGCATAAACAATTTTCAGAAATTCTTTTTTTTTCTCTTCTTTTGACAGGAATTTTCTATAAAACTGTTAGATTTATTCTGAGAGATAATAAAAATTTCTTTGTTAGTCAAAGTTTCATTATGTGCCTTCCGAACGGTGAATGGTCAGGCTTGGTACCAGCCTGCAAGTGTAAGTTTTCTTCTTACTAATAATTAAAATCTTATTGCATTTTAAACTTTTGACATGCAAATACAATAAGATATTTATTTAAATTAGATTTTAGAACATTTTATTAACGTAACTACATCATAAAATATCTGTTCTAGTTTAAATTTTTACTGTACAGTTTAGCGTTAATAATATTTTTCTACTCAAATTTGTTTTTTTAAGTTCCTTTTCTTTCAAAATTGGAGTTTATTTAGTGCTTTTACTTAAGGCCAGTTATTTAATTGTCAGTAGTTATGCTACAATTCAACCTATTTATTTTCTTAACCCGCCCGAAATCACTCTAAACATATTGCAGTCACGTTTCAAAATATACCAGCGTTTTTAAACACCCATGTATTTTAAATTGCTCTAGCATAAACGATTTTCAGAAATTACGCCAATTCTTTTTCTCTTTTCTTTTTCTGACAGGAATTTTCTATAAAACTGTCAGATTTATTCTAAGAGATAATAAAAATTTATTTGGTAGTCAAAGTTGGGAAATTGATTATTATGATTCCAAGTAGTTTAAAATCATTCCTCTCGACGCTTCAAAAGTTAAACCTTTTTTTTTCTTAAACTAACAAGTTTTTCAAAAGTGCAAAACTGATGTTCCATATTGTTCCTAGTATGCAATCACACCAATGAAATTAATTAACATTATGACTCAATCATATTATCTAAGTTTTTGAAAAATATTTTGTTTTAAAGAAACTGACTTTTTTTATTTCAGCTGGTATTTTTCAGTGGTTTAAAAAAATTAAATAAAGACTTGCTTTTCCTGGCCTGGTTTAAATACGGCAACCTTGAGGCTCGTGAAACTGTAAATATCCTGTAACGGTTTCCATGGAATATCACAAACCTAGAAAACACAAGTATCTGAACTTGACATGCAATGGATTTTGAAGAGCATTTGACCTGAAAACGATTCAGGTCCCATTGTGTATCAGATTCTCTTTGATATTTAATGATTTTTCAAGGGCATGGTGTGGCTGGTATGGCATTAAAATTCAAAAATTGTCCAACGTCTACAAAAATTCATCTACCAATTGAGCGATTGTGTAGAAAAATAGACAAACGTATAACCTTTGGAATGATATAAATGAAAACAGTTGATTTCTTGCACCAGACCTTACTTTTGAAATTTTTCTCGTATCAAATAGACACCTTAGGTGTCCACTCGCAACTCCACACAGATAAATATATAAAACTAAACATACTATTGATAAACAGGCTAAACAGTGTTCTAAAATAAATTTGAACCAAAAGTAAGTAAATAAAAATATCGGTAAGAAGCTAACTGATTTACTTGAAGTCATGGTACCAGTGTTTCAAAAAAGTTCAATACTCGAAGAAAATAAGAGAGATTAAGAAAGAAAAAAAATTTATTAAAGCAATTCAAGCGAAATATTATGCATTACAGAAACCAGTTGGTTTAGGGCTACTACATGTTAGCAGCCTATATGCATTTTATTTTATAACCGTCGTTGAACAGCCGACCCAACTTTTTTGGATCTACGGCTACTAATATTCAACTCCGTAACCTTGTAATTTTGTACCCAATCCAGAAGACAAGGGAACTCCTGGATCAAGTATTGGGAGAAATTTTGCCTTCGTGAAGGACTTTTTGATGGAACTAATCCGGATTTGCGTTACATGGAGAGGAAGACCTCGAGAACCTCCCATGGTTAGCCAGATGGCAAAGGGATTCTATACCATGATCCGTCTACCACTGAGGATATTTCACGTCAACATTGTGGTCGGTGCAAGCTGGATGCGGAAGATCTGATCTTCTTCAGAAGAGAAATAAGGAGAAAATAATCGCATTTTGTCGAGATTCTTACCTTTTTATGTAATCATTTGAATGAATTTATATAATTGTACTCTTAGTTACCCCTTTTCCATGACATTTGGTCACACTTAAAACTACACTTCTGTACTACATTTTCCATTACTATAATGTTGTGAGAGTGCCAAACTCATACATTGGTCGAAAGTTTATAAATATAAATGTTATACAATGAATGTGAACAATTTTGCACTTAAGTTTCTTATTTACTTTAAATAACATAATTGTTTTTACATTATTTGAAAAAGACTTTAATTTCAGACTTAGATATTGTCTTTTCTTTTTTTAGTGCCCAGTTGCCAGATGGAGAAGCTATTTGAACACGTTCCAGAAAATGTTGTGCCCAACATGATAAACGTCACCAACGGGACTCTGCCATACGGTTTTGAGCTGCAACTCACTTGTGAAGGTGATCTGAGATTAACTGAACCAGCCACTGCTAAGTGCGGTCGAAATGGGGACTGGGAGGTTCCTAAAGTTAGCTGTGAGTTTTATATAAAGTTTAATGTTTAGTAGTTGGTGCTATATTGAAAAACTTTTAAATAACCTTATTTATTTAATTTATTTATTATTTATTAATATTTATTTATTATTATTTATTTATTATTATTTATTTATTATTTTTTATTTATTATTATTTATTTATTTTTATTTATTTATTTTTATTTATTTATTATTTTAGTAATAAAACTTTAGCTGCGAGTGTTAGGGTGCTATTTTTTATATTCAGGGTACTCCATTGATGAAAGTGTTCCAACAGTTTATTTAATACAAGCCATAATTGAGCTCTCTAACGCACGATGCAATTATTTCATAAATGCACTTTAAAAAATTTCTTAGTTAAAATACGGACGGTGTCAGGCAGCAGCTGCCCACTACTGACCATAAGAGTATTATAGCTTTGACCGTAATTGGCTCCGTCAGTCAAGGGTCTTCAATTAGTGGTTTGCTAAAGTTCCTTCCTGAAAGATGTGGGCATTCGCCAGTTATTTCATAAGCAGTAAAATTCACGGCATGCAGCATTTTAAAGTGCTGCTGAAAAAATATTCGTGTCCGTTAATCTAAGAGATTTGGAATCTAAGAGATTTGTAATTTAAGAGATTTGGAATCTAAGAGATTAATCTAAGAGATTTGGAATCTAAGAGATTGACTGTGAATTTTAATGGGCAGAGACATTTTTTAATATTTCTTAAAGAGCAAAGATGATAATTTTTTTTACTGTGTGTTTTGTGAAAATTCGAAACCTTTCGCCTATTTCAAATAAAAAAGAAACTAACCGACCGAAACATAAAGAAAAATTCAGGTTATTCCTTCTGAAAGTTTGCCTTCTTCTACATTAAATGCACTAAGTTGGTTGGTTGGTTCTAATGCCACTTACCACACGGGCAAGCCTGCTTGGTGAAACCGAGCGAATTTAAGGCAGAGTGTGCCTTTCTTGATTTTCAGTGGCGCCATCTATGGCCAAGAATTCGACTTCTGCCACACTATGCATCGCACCCGCTTATAGGGCGGACCCATCCATTCATTCACAGATCGTAATTTTGACCTGAATCAGAGAACGATCGATCTCCAATCCAGTACCCCCAGAGTTATTGATTTGTTATGGGTACATGGAAGACTTTTGCCACTCGCCAGATTTAACGCCACTTTACTGCACGGGAAGTCTTCGACCGTCGGGGTTCGAACCCACGAACTCTCGGACATGGGCCCAGCTCCCTACCGACCAGGCTATCCTGGCCTTATGCACTAAGTAAATTCTTTAATGGAAAATGTATTTATCAATATAACGTAATATAATTTTCTTCCAGGTGTACCCGGGTGCACATCGATTCAAGTACCTGCAGATTCTAATCTAATAATTGATCCCGAAAGGGCCTTCTATAGATTCGGCGAATTTGTATCGTTATATTGTAATCCAGGACATGTTTTGAGTGCTGAAGTGGAAAGACTGATGTGTTTGAGAGACGGTTGGTCTGAAAACACCATACCGACATGCGTAGATCCATCTTCACTGACTGAAGTGGTATGAACAGAATCCAAACGTTGTATTTCCTTAAGATGCGTGTTAATGAAAAAGTATACATTTTTTCTTTTTTGTAAATAAAATTGCCAACTTAGAATTCTTTTTTTCTTTTCAATGCAACTCCCGTTTTCTTCTGTGTTGTCATTTTATGTACAGCATAGCAAAATAAAGTCAAACTATCCAGAATATAGCCTGGATTAGGTTATTAAGATAATAAATTAACCTGGATAGCTTTTACCTTCCATTTGTATTCAAAACAAAAGCATATAGTTCTAATACATATTTGGTATCACAAAATTAATCGTGTAACATGTTATTTTTTCTATCTAACTACAAATATTTCTGTTTGAAAATATAGCTGAGCATTCCAGTGTAAAAAAATAATCTTTTTATTGAAAAACCTTTCACTTTAAATATAAACAAATATTCAACTTGGCATTATAAAATAGAATCTAGCAATGGTCCAATTGGAAAAGAAATTTCGATCATCAAAAAGAAAATTCGAGTCTATAATGATAGCGAAAAATGTTAACGAAAGCGTTAGACGGACATTTTTGAATACGCAATAACATCAATTTTTAGCTTAAATATTATTTTTATAATGTACAGAATATATCTGCGTTTTACATTTTCTTCAAACTCTGTAAGAAGAAAAAATGAGAAAAAAAAATATTTCATTACTAAACGATATATATGTATGAAGTACAACATAAAACATGCTACACCCTGAACAAACTTCGATATAAAAATGTTAATTCCACAGTTTTCCACCAGGTGGAACTGCATGTATTCTCATCTTGCACTGCATAACCCTTTTACTTTATCTATATACCACTTTTAAGCCATTTGAAAGAACACCCTGTATAAAAATTTTTGAAGACTCGGTGGAGTACAAATATATTTAGTTACAAATATGTATTCTAAATTTATTAAAAATTTGCGTTTACAATTTTTTGAATATATTTTAGCAAATATAAGTAATATTATGAAGGTTGTGAATAATATTATGGCATAGATAGTCACATATCATCGGTCATGTAAAGCCAGGATATCAGAGCAGTGGCACGATTTTATGTACCACATGGAAAAAATTAAATGGACCACCCTAAATAACTTTTGATTCAATGATCGGATCTTCAATGTCTAGGATTCAATCTTAATGGTTCGAAAGGTAACCTCAAATATGCTAATTAATTAGTGCAGGTGATATTTTAAATGACGAAATCAGGCATGAAATCATATTTTCCCTGAATAAACATACACCTTTCTTTTAAATTTACTTTTTGAGTACTTCGCCCTATATTTAAGCAAATTAAAAAAAAATTTAAGGGCAATTAAGGAAATTTATTTAGCGAAAGATAATTACATGCAAAAATAACTTTTAGTGAGAATTTGCTATTTTTTATTATTTTATTCTTTAATAATCGAAAAAATTTTGAATTGAAAGGTTTACAGTTTTTGTATATCCTTTTAAAGAATGTATTTTTACGTGTCAATATACGAAATTTGAGTGAAATCGGTAAAATAATTCCTGAGAAATTAAATTTTAAAAATACGACTTTTTCAAAATTTGATTTTTCATAAAAAATTCCACGAATTTGCTTATATTTTGTATTTTGGCATTTAAAGAAATTGCTTTCTTTAAAATGATGTAAAAAATGGTATACCTTCCAACTCAAAAAATTTTCGCCTATTATTAAATAAAATAATAAAAAATCATAAATAGATATAAAAGTTATATTTTGCTTGGAATTATCTTCGCTCTCCTGACCAAATTATTTTGACCATATTTCTCAGATTGCGGTTACTTATTTAGGGAGTCAGAAATCCAAATCCGTCTAAAAAAAGGCATGTTTATTTAAAGAAAGTACGATTTTCTGTAACTTAAAATATTGTTTGCACTAATTAATAAGCATATTTGAGGTCACCCCCTCGAACCGTTAAAATTGAGTCCTAGAGCGTAAAGATCCGAGCATTATATCGAAAGTTATTTAAGGTCCATTTTTTATTTTGAGCACTGTACACTAACACATCACTGTTGTGGATGTGATGCAAAATACGTAAAACCGTTGATACAGCAGAAAGAGCTACTACTCTAAATTATGTCTGAAAAAAGGAAATAGCGGTTATGAAATAAAATCGAAGTTGCTCATAGCAAAAGTTTGTGCTGCTTGGACTGAGAATACAGATTTGCTCTGTACGGTTGACAAACTCAACATCACGTTGTCATAGTGAGTTGATGAACTGTTCAATAATTAACCGTTGAAGTTGAGCTCAGTCATCAAACGGTGTGACGCACATATCGAAGGAAAGTCTCTATCTCGTTCCCTGATAATGCTAGATGCCATGTTAATAATGAGTAGCAAATTCTTTTGTGACTGTGGTCTTGGGATGTATTGGAACACCTTACATACTTACCTGACACGAATTCTTGTGACTACAAACTCTTCCCTATGCTGAAAGAACCTCTTCGAAGCATCCGATTTCCTCGCGTGCCGTCAGTGTTCCGAGCAGTCGGACACTCCGTCTCTCGCTGACATCAACAAAAAAAAACTTCGCCGACGTCCTATATCCAATGGCTTCCTGATATTTGGTAAGAAGCTCATGACTTTGGTAATTATAGCAAAGAAACGTAATATACTTTTACTCGTGCGTTTAGTAAAAATTGTTTTCTAGGTTTGCTGCCATTACTTAATTTAAAACCATTGTAAATCCAAGCACTGTGCTCGAAATCATTTGAAATTATTGTCTGTTCCTAATAATTTATCTGTGTCTCTGAATTTAAAACATTTGCGTGCACTTAAAGATAAATAAATAAGCAGAAAAAAAAATAACTCTTAAATACGAACAAAAGTTTTGTTCTATTCTATTAAACATGTTTAGTAATTTTTCTAAAGAAAAACAATGCATAAAAAATCCATTAATGTATTTCTGACAGGGAAAAAAAGAGGGGGAATAATGAAAGGCTTTGTTGAGTGTGATTTAATTTGTACTCAACGGTTGAGTGAGTGTCAGCAGCTGAGTATTAAACATCAAACACACAATGACAGATCAAGGTTTTTTTTCTATTCAAAAATTTAAAATTACTCTCATAGCGTTTTGTTCCATATAGACTCTGCGGTCACCTTCTGAACAAAAGTAAAATACTAGATAGTATAAATAATGTCTGAGTTGGTATTTGGAGAAGAAGGAAAATGTTAAATCAATTATTTTTTTAAATTATTTCACGATATGATTTTTAAAAGAAAAGGGGGTTCGTTTTCGATGGGAAATGCATAGCCATGCATTGGTTAGGCAACTCCGTAATATAGTTTCAGCACAAAATAATCATTTAAGCGTTCTTGTAAGATTACGACGAGTTTGCTTTATACTTTACTTCTTGAACTAAAATAACTGCTTTGGCTGGCAAGAAATTCTCATATGCAATTCCAAACAGCCAGTTGCAACTGACTGCGTGGTATTTAGTGCCCAATGCCTTATAGATATCAGTATTTTATTGTTATTTATTTATTTATTCATTTATTTATTTTTGAATTTTTATAATAATTGCATGAACATGCTATGTGTACATCACTCAGTGGGCGATGTGGGGAAAAAAACATCTTGACCAGCTTTGCACATCTTTCCTCCAGCAAGTGGTTAAGAGAAACTAATTACTAAGCTAATCTTGAAGTTTGATAAGCAACAATTTTGTTAAAGAAAGTGTGAAATTTTTTTAACCTTAAAGCAGGTGGAGTAAAATACAGATTTCAAATTATGTAATGTATAATGAACTAACTATCTAATAATACCAGTGAAATGTGAAATTTTCGTTGCTATTTTAAGAATGGTATTAAATACAAGAAAACCGTAGCTACTAAATTTTATAGCAGACTTTAACTCTAGTTAGAAAATACACCCTTCTCTCATTTATGAAAAGAGTAGGAGTGAGCTAGCAGGGCCGTTTTATCCATTAGGCACTGTAGGCAACTGCCTAGGGGCCCCGCCACGTTCAGGGGCCCTGTGCTACAGAGAAAAAAAATTGACAATGTTTCTTAAACAGTAAAAATTTAGTTCGAAATTTCAATGACGATTGCTTTGCTCTGTACATTACATCGACGCTATTTTAGTACATTTCTGAACGCATTCCAAATTAGATGGTAGTTAGTTCATATATAACGCAGTAATATAATCGCAAGCAATTTTATCGCGGTAATTTTAACGCCGACTAATCAGATGATTATACAGCAAGAGCAGCTTTTTTAACACAACACGCTTGAAAAACGCGCAAAATTCTACGTTGTGAATGCACACTTACTGTTCTGGTACCTACCATAGGTATGTATATTCTATGGCCAAGCTACCAAAGAGTATGTAAAAATAAGGTTGGCAGTACTGGTTCTTTCGTCGCATGACTGGGGAATTCCCCGATCCGCTAAATACATACGTTGTATTGTGTCATAGACAACATTTTTGAAACATTTTTAATGTAATCGTTGAATTTTCACTTCGTGCAATTTGTTTGCGAGTTTTACGGCTGTGAATGAAAAGAGAGTTTTACAGTTTGTGTTTCAAAACTTACGAATTTAAAGCTAACTTAGCTCTAAATTAGTAAAAAACAGCGTAATTATGAATAAAGTGTTGTGTTAGCGAAAAAATATATTAGGAAGTTAGAAGACGGTAGGGGGGGGTGGCGAGACGAGCATTGCCTAGGGGCCGCGACATGCATAAGCCGGCCCTGTGAGCTAGGCTATTGCGCCAACAAATCATGCAGAAATAAAGGCAATCTTCAAAATCAAAAAATAAGCAAATAATAATAAAATAATATTTTTCTCAAGTATTCTAAACAGGACTCTGGGAATAGACCACTTGTGGTGGTTTAGGTTTGAATTCCAGCGATGGATTCGAATTTCCCTTCCGACTCACACCGACTATAGTGCTTCAGCGATTGTGGTTGATCGATCATGGGTTAGGATCCCCTTGCCATCGGGCTAACCGTAAAAGGTTACCGTGTTTTTTTTTCTCTGCATGTAACACTTATTCGTGTTAGTTCCTACAAAAATTCTTCCATGACTGCTAGCTTGCTCCAATGTTAATACAAGAGTTTCCGACGAAAAA